TACAATAGTCAATATATATCATCAATATCATCATTTATTATATGTTATAATTCTAAATGGAATATTGAGAAATATTGATGAAATAAAATGCATTTTCCCCCATATTTTCATTGTAAAAAATCATTTTTCACTACAGTGAAAAATAATTACTGTATTTTTTACTGGTATCTTGCTGAACTATTTCCTTTTAAATTCAGCCAAAACACAAATTTAAAGAGAAGTCTACCGGATTATAATGTCAAAATTACAAAATTTGTAAAAATAAACAGAAAACTTAAGTGTTTTCTATATAAACATTAATTTATCATATACTAATAAATGAAATATTGAAAAATATTGATAATATAAAATGCATATTTTCATTTTCCGTATTTTCACTGTACAAATCTATCTTTCACTGCAGTGAAACATATTTTCCGTACTTTCACTGGTGTCTGGCCGGACTACACTGTAAATTTTGGGAACACTACACGTGTTTTACCAGTGTTTCAAACAAAAACACTGACGTTTTCATATAAAATGCTTATGTTTTGTATACGTTTCAGTGAAAACACATATGTTTTATTCATGTTTTCCGCTCGATGCCCAGAAAACGGTGGTGTTTTCACAGGACAACCTATAATATATAATTAAATAATTTTACATTATTGAATGAGTTGAAGTCACGCAAGTGTTGTGAATAGGCCACATGTAAAAAAATAATGAGACAAAAACATCATTTGTGTCGGAAAATTCGTATATACTTGTCATCCGGAAATCTGAAAACACGTGTTTCGGCCGAAAACACGTGTTTCGGCCGAAAACACTAAGGTTTAATCTGACAGCGGTTACTTCCCCTTAGCACAAAAAACATGAATTGATTATTTTTTTTTATAATTAGAATTATTTTTGTACAATCCCCATATTAAAATATCTAGATCCAGAAACAAATAATGATGAATTCAATTACATAAAATATTTTATAATAAATAAATTCGAATCATAGCAGCCAGATGCTTGCGTGTAAAGAGTACGCTTTGATTGATATCTCCGTAAAGCGCCTGGCGATGTAGCACATTGTAGATCATACGACAAAGACCGCCAGAAATTGTTTGTCTCATTTTTGTTGTTTCTTCCATAACAGATATGTACAACAGTTGCTTAAACAGATTTGTTAATATTTTTAACGTTTTTACAGGTGAATGGTTAGGTTTTATGTACTATATAGTCCATTTTCGCTTCGATAGACGAATTGAAACAGGTGGGTGGGGAATGCTGTTTACGTTACGTGATTACTGTTTGGGCAAAAATTACTAAAACTATTGGTGTTCTTTTTCACGGATTTGTATTCAAATCACTTTAGGGTAGTTTTAAGTTGTATCGTTTGTTTCCTTGTTAAGGATTAAAATAATTTAAATTTGTCTTTCAACTGGTCCACCAGGGCAGGAGTATTTCTGTCCACACACACTTTCTAACAACAAATTGAAGTAAAATCTTATTTACATTTAGTGATGTAGAAAATGGCGCATGATGTCCAATGATCAGCTATGGGATTGACTATATGTTTATACCTGTCTGATAATGCAGGTATATAAATTAACAATTTTTATCTAGGGGCCCAGACTATTTTACATTTAAGTTATTTAGGCATTTCTTCTAGAAAGCTGGGGCCCTTAGACCCAAAAGTTAGAACCATTGCGACTGGATCCCTGTTATTTTATATCCCTGTAATGGAAGCACAATGGGCACACTAACAAAGTTTGCACTCTTACCCTATGCTACGACCGGATGTAAACAATACGTTCGCACAGGGCATGCGCGATTATTAAATCCCACCCATTTTATTTGATTAAATTCTAGAACAACCTCTACTTTCGGTTTCAATTTTGCTGACAAGGAACAGTTTGAGTCAACGTAAGTGTTAATTTTAATAGCCATGTCCAAAACTTTGCACTACACGGCGTAATTTTCATTACATATCGGGTATTATTACTGTCATGGTAGTTTTTATTCCAGTCGGTCAAAATGACGGTACACATTTACATGTAAACAAACAGATTTAACTTCTCAGACAATTTAAATAAGGAATGGACACACGGTAAACTCTGTTGCAACGTAAAGTATATTCATAAACCTACTGTTTGTGAAAAATTGTCTCCGTGTTCAAATAAATTTCAAAAACGGGGAAAAAAGCAGTCTTTTACCGATACCCTGCAACTGAACCTTTATAATTATTCTGACGAATTAAATTGACTTTATAACGCTTGTATACAATTATTTATTGATCGATTTTCATTATATTTATTTTGTAATACCTATCATTCAATATGCAATCACACAAAACCAAGTTTTCCTACATTCAATGAAATTGTTAGTTAGGACGAGCTTTCAAAACGAACAGATAGCAATTTCCAACACTCTTACCGAAACTCCAACATGGCGGCTCAACCTGGCTCATTTGCATAATTTATTCATAAATGCAGGAGCATAGAACTTTCAGTTTGTTAGTGGGGCAGGTATTAATAATTGTCATTTAACAGTAACTGTATTAACCTTTTGATTGAAATTTCCTATAAACCCCCACCCCCCTAAATTTCTTTATTTTCAATATTTTATAAACTTTAGAATGAAAGGACAAATAATCATATATAGTTCTATATTATTATCACACATTTATAATAAATGTTCCTTTGTAAGGGTGCAACTATTCAGCTTTCTCTGGATTTGATTCTTAATTCCATTTAAATTTCGATTTGATTATTAAGGCTAAGTTAACATTAATTTTATATAGGGAATACTTTAAAAATAATTTTTAACTACACTTAAACTTTATTTAGGACAGCAAAGAAAAGCATACTGAATAAAACTTTTAAACAACATAGCTAGAAAACAGAAACCATATCATGTTACATTCAACGTGTTTTGATTTGGATAAGCAAGAACACGTTGTCAAGTAAAGAAACGCTTATATTATATATAATATTCAAATATAAAACATTCAATTAATATCAGAAAGTCAAAGTGTTTTTCCCCTACTTTGAGAATGGTGCTGGTACAATTAACGGTACCGGACAGATTGGGAAAAAATCCATCGGTTTGACTTAAATTGGGAATTTTATTTTAGATGCAAAATATTTATTGGGAATTTCTTTTATCCAGGGAGGTGATGAAAATTTTGCATAATTATACACTTTAAAATCATGTATTATTAACTTTAAAGATTATTTTTGCTGCTTGAGGTTGAAAAAAAAATTGATAATCATAACAATTGTACATAAATAATGTTTAGTAGGTGTGAAACATAAAGGGGAGCGGTGGCCTAGTTGTTAAAGTGTCTGCCTCTCAACCCAGAGATCATGGGTTCGAGCCCTACACGGGTCACGACAATGTTTCTTCATATGACACCAGTACTGGTTGGTTCCAGGAAGCGGACTCGAAAGTGATTGATATAAGTTGCAAGAACTTGTTTCGCAATCGAGCTAAAATAAATATGTTTAAAACCTTAAACATAAAGTACGAAATGAACTGGGTACGAATATCACTCATGTGGTTTTACTTGGTTTTTATCGTATATCACTTATCAATACGGAAGGCTCCGAGGCATGCATTACTGTTTTTAGAGGTAATTTTCAGTGTTAAATTTGGAATTTATCAGTCATGAATTGGACAATTTGCTGTCTATTTTCTATTGGGAAACCGTGCCGTTTTCCGGTATCAGTTATATAAGGAAAAATACTGGGTTGTTGTTAAGATTTTAGTCATTGACTAGATTTCTACCAGAATTTTTTTGTTTTTACTCTTCTTGTGCAAGTTGTGGTTATAGAGTGTGATGAACATATTGACTCTTACTTTGTAAAACGCTTAGATACAAAGACAGTTGCTAAAAAATATCAAGATCTCAAGTTTGTTTTGCCCCTGTCTTGCATATCTGTAATGGAACAGAACAGTTATTATGGATAAATACAGGTACTTCAATAAAATGTAATTTTGGGTACTGTCAGATCTACATGTTACGCTACAAGTTTCTTCTCATAATTACATATTTAACAACTAGTATGGCTAATGAGTACAAAATTTTGGAGATGTTACACTACAAGGCAGAAGAGAATATCTGTCCTTGCAAGCAGTCTTGAAGACCTTCTGAATAAAGGTAAGTATTTTTACACACTACAGCACAATTACAACACAGTGTTAGGTTGTGTGCTCAAAAGAGGAATCTCAGAATTATTTAGAATATAAAGCCTTGTCATAAGAAAATCTGTACAGGTGTGACTATTGTACAGCCACAGTTGTTGGCGTAAAACACTTTGTGAAAGTCTGGTGATCCAGATGCCAAGTAAAACCGTTAATATGAATAGAAAAAAATAGACATTTCACAGTATCATAGCTTTATTTACATTTGAATTGATTTTTTAAAAAAAGAAATGTGATTCTACCTTTCTGTGTTTAATTTTTACTACATTTGCAAATTCAATAAATTATCATCATGTAAGTATTACCTAATTGCAATAACTATTGTCCTCTTGTCCACTTTGATTTTCACAAACATTTAACATGGTGAACCCTAAATGTTAATCATATTATTCACAAAATTTTAGCCTTGCAAAAATATCTGATTTCACAGTATAAAGAAAATTCAAACAAGTAGACTCAAAACACAAACTTTTCACAAAATATAATAATCATGTTAACAGTAAAACAAACCCTACTTGATGATATTATTTAGAATTGAACAGTTGTCAAAATTTAATTTGAGTTCTATATATGCTGTTGAGATCCATTTGTGATGGCAGAAATCATATTCATGGATATAACTACAGATCTCATCTATATAATATTTGATAGCTACAATACATAATTGTTATGTTAGAATGACTGTCTTAAATGTTTTACAGAAAAGATCTGTAGTTTGATAAATAATTCAAACAGTTTGATACTTCGATCTAGTTGGTATTGATGACTATTTCTCAGAAACACTAACTCAAGTTTTATTCAATATTTTAGCTGGTGACAGCTGACAAGCAACAGTTGCAAGGAGTAAGTTTGATTGTTGTGCTGGAAAAAGATGTGACAGAAATGGAAGAAAACGCCATCCTTGACATATTCAAAACTAAGTATTGATGCTTCTAGAAGACCAAAAATTATGAGAACCAGATATTCCAAAAGACACTGTTGTAATGTTTGGGCAGACACCCAAGATGCCAACATGTCAAAGACTGAGACAGAGTCCACAACTGTTACCACAGCAACAGAAATTGTAACACCATCTTGTAAGTTGCATGAAAAAATAGTAGATTTGAATTTTCTGTCTTATCAGTTGACTATTAAAATCTGATATATAGTATAATATTTCTTGGCAAAAATGCCTGCAATATAACTGAAATACTATTGAAACAGGTGTTAAACTCCAACAATATTTCTGAGAACGGAACAATTAAGCTGATAACAGAACTTAAATTTGAACATTGGAAAATGCAATATTGTATATAAAGAATCTTAAATGAGTTGTCATATAATACATGTGACACATTGAGTAATTTATATATGAGCAGGGGCATGACTTTAATTTACATGTATGCTCAGCAAAAACCTGGATCATCCCATCCACCCCTATATCCAATCAGATGTTAACTGTGCGTTCAATGGTTACCCAAAGGTCCTATACTTCATTGAGTGGATTAGCCAGGACCCAACCATGCAGGCATCTAGTCAGGTCTGAGTCCTTGATGGATGTACATCCTTACTGCAGGTTTATCATGCCATGGCTTAAATAATTTCAAAGATTAATATGTTGTACTAAAATTACAAAATCATTTTATCAATATGCATATTTACATGTCACATTATAAGTCTTTATAATGAGGTTCTTTCTAGCAAGTCCTTTGGATATAATAAAGTTCAAAGATTAATTCCTAAAATGTGTAGACTATAAGTATGTATAAAAATAACCATGAATGGTTGTTATTGTAATATTTACAGTATTGTTTGGATGTATAATCATAAATGCAACGTTTAAACTAACATGAGGTTGGTATTGACCCCAACAACCATGTTACATATTTGTTGCTGAACAGAACTTTTTCCTGAATGTGGAGGAAAAAACACTAAAAAAATTAACTAAGAAAAAAAAAAAGAAATAATTTATAAATTACATCATATATGAGCATACACAAATGGCTGTTAATTATGTCATAAATTGCATATTAAACATTAATGGTTATAAAAATATTTGGAAAGTGAAATTTAAAGGCAGGTGATCTACGCTGTTTTGCTACATTTCCTTTTTTAATTATCATATGATTATCAAATAAGCTAAAGCCTAATTATAATAATTGTTTTTCTTTTTTTTTCAGATGTTGTTGGAAATTAAATTAATTCTTGCAGTAGGCCACATCCAACCATTTGTTGACAATCTAGAGATATTGTTTGAAGCAGTAGCTACACTTAAACCTGGAGGAAAAGAGGTATGAGTTAAGATTACTGTTAGGGCAGGCAACCTTATGGAAAAAAGATATCATTGCAATCTTACTATGCATACAGCACAGCCTTGTTATAATGCGGCTTAAGATATAATAATGTTTAAAAGAGGGTAAAAATTGTATTCACAAAAGGTATAGAATAGAAAGAAAAATTCCATATTTTTTTTAAATATATAATAAATACTTTTTTGTTTGGATGTAATGTGGTTAACTAACATGGTCTATATAAAGGATTCAAACTACCATGTTATAACAAGGTTGTGTTGAACCTAGGAGACCCAGTCAGAAGTTGATTATGCTTCTGCACCTGTACATTAATCAAATAGTTCTGACAATTATTATTTGTTGTTGTTGTTTTTTTTTAGATATAAAATATCTGATTTTTAATACAAAATATGTAATTTTTAATTTTAATGTGCTTTGAAATACATTGTCTGACTGGACTTAAAAAAAAATGCGACTTTATCCTGAGATATATTGCAGGAAATCCAACATGGCATAATCTTGTTTTGTGGCTGATGTTTGTTTTTACAGTGCTTTTGTCACTTTTAATGCAAATATGGTTAAAATTGTTAAAAATTGTGTTCATTTTGTCATATTGAAAGCTGTGTTTAGGATCTGATTGTGTGCGTTTCTGTTTTACTTAGAATTACTGATTTCTGTTGCAGTGCAAAGATGATTTGGACGTTATAGAGCCATAGAAAGTAATACAGGATTCAAACATGGAAAGGGGTGCAAGACTAGATAAATTGTAGTTCTACATAAGGTATAGTAAATTTACTGGAATTTTTTTTGTCAGTTTTGTATAATACCACTGAATTTAATTTTAACTTGAATACTTGCAGCCGCTAATCATGACAAGACACATTTGTAACTGACAAGGGACAAAATTCTGAAATTTATTAAATGAATTAATGTCAAAGGTATCAGCACAATAAAGACTTTGATAAATTCATTTTATATTTGCTTTACATTACAAGACACACTGTTCAGACAAGGGGAGTTATTCTTAAAACTATATTTTGGAGTTATGCCCCTTTTCAACTTACAATTTTGTCAAAATAGCATATTAAATGGATTGACTTGTAAACTTTTTTACGTATATGATAAGTATCTCTATAGATAGGCCTCTTTGACAAACATGGTATCTCATTTTTTGCCTGTCTTGTCACTATATAAAATAGACGAATGTTGGCCCTGCTCAGCATGGCATGGCAGAAGATCGAATTTCTGACCTACTGCTCCAGAAGCAGACATTAACTAACACTTTATTATGTGCTGGTTGGAAATGCTTACGGTAGAAGATTTCCCTGATCCTGTTATGAAGGATGGTACTCATTCATTGTTTTGTTCCATGTTCATTTTGCAGGATATTGAAGAAGCTAATCTGTCAAAGGTCCTGTCATCACAGCCTAATACTCCTCCAAGTGAAGCCTTGTTTTTATTTTTAACAACATAGAACTGGACAAACAGTATATTGTTGGAGACCAGTGCAAGATACCACTTGAGACAGATAGCGCTCATGGAAGGGCTATTCTTATTGATAAGCTGGTATTATATAATGGATCTAGAAAATCCCACTGCTTTTCACAACTCCTTGGATTCATGCAACAAACAGTATTTAAACAAGCCTTTCTTAGTCACAAGTCGGCTTGGTATTTACACTTTGTGGAAAAATTGGAAAAAACTAATGAACAATTAGAACCAACATTTTAAATTAAATTCAACCTTCTGTGTCATGGACATATTATTGACTTCATAACAGCTTACATTTTACCATGAAAAAACCTGCTTTTTTTTGCACTTACAAAAACAAAAGGTGCAGAATAGCTGTGTGGTAACCATCAGCTGATCAGTGCCTTTATTTTTGCTGCATAGATGGTGCAATCGCTCCCCTTCCAGGCTTCCTTAATCAGACATTTAAAATCCTCTTGATGTCTGAACATGAAGCTGTATATTTTGGCTCTATTTGAAATAGCAAATGTCAAGTGTCAATATTTTTCAAAACAGCTAAGACTATGCTTCTTTTTAGGAACTTTTTAATCCAGTGATTTATCAAATTATTATTCACTAGCAGAAGAGATTGACTTAATAATGCAGTGTTAACTGTTTAAACACTAATCTTATTATTTATGACATCAGTATGTTATTGCAGACTGTGACATTTTTATGTCAATGATAGCATAATAAAATGCCATATATTATAAATTGTTTATTACAGTTAAGAAGTATTAGTGCTATTTGTTGTTTGCAAATGTTAATATGCTCTTATTTTGTACATGCTATGTAGTAAGTTTAATATATTGCATTGATGTCTTAAAATAAGTTTGTATTTTGTTGATGTATTACTGTCTAACTTTACACATGCTCACTTCATTATCATATCAGATTTTATTAAATTTTCATTTACTGATTTCAAGTGGTAAGCAGAATTATTTACAGAGATCACTAGATTTTTCACTGATCAGGCACCTTTGTTGTGCATTTAATTTTTGGTGTTTTCGGAGTCAAAGAAATGATTTATCAAAATATTGTATAAAGTTGCATTGTAAAATTTTAGAGTGCTTAAAGTGTACCATTTTTTTGTCTAAGCCTTAAGCGCACCAAAAGATATTTATTAGAACCATCAGGATATATACTGTTTACTGATTGAAAAAATAGAGCAACTAGTGGCACAGACTTTTGACTCCCCCCCCCCCCCCCCCCCCCCCCCCCCCTCCCCCCCACCCCCCCCCCCCCCCCCCCCCCCCCCCCCCCCCCCCACCCCCCCCCCCCCGCCCCCCCCCCCCCCCCCCCCGAACAGTCAACATTGAATGACCGAATCGATTTTTGACACTGTCTGAAAATACTGTTTGTTTTTTTCGCAACCCAAATATGATACATATATGTGCCAAAAAACTTTCTTTTTTACATTTTACAGGGAGGTAGACTTACTGTTGTAAAAATTTAAATCCATTTTATATGTTTTCATTTTACCTGAAATTCTAAACTGATATCCATATATCAATTTGCTTTGTTGTTTAAATATGTCTATTTATTTACTTAATTGTTTGCCTAAATATAACTGTAATCTGTTTTATGTATTTATTTATACATTCATTTTTAATCCCCTTCTGCATAGAGGGGAGGGGATTACAGGAATGGCCTCAGTCTGTCTTCCATGTCCACTCCATAATTTTTTTTAAACTGTGAAAATTTTTTGAAATAACTTGGCACAAATGGTCAGTATGAGACGATGTGCAGAGCGCAATAATCGGGTCGCTAACCCTAACAGGTCACAACTTAAGGTCATAGGTTAAAAGTCTACCTTTTGTGTCCGCTCCATCACTTCAACTGATGAAAAAGTTTTTTAACATAACTTGGCACAAATGATCACCTTTATATCATGATGAGCAAAGCACAACAAACAAGGTCACTACCTCCAAGGTCAAGGTCACACTTAAAAAGTCAAAATGTTAATGGTCCACTTTTTGTGTCCCCTAAATAACTTAATCTGCTGAAAAGTTTTAAAATAACTTGGCACAAAATGATCACCAAATTATAATAGGATGTGGCAGAGCGCAACATCAGGTCACTGCCCCAAAAGTCACAGGTAGAGGTCAAATATTCTTGTTTATAACTTTTTGACATGGGAAGATTTTTTAAATATTTTAGCATAAAATAATCACGACCATGGCACAACAGCCAGGTTTTTCTCTAAAAGACATGGTTTGTTAAAGATCAAGAAGTACAGATTCCTGTCCACTGTGAAGGGGATATAGATGTCTCAGACTGCCTTGTTTTTAATTGTTTGAAGTTTGAAAATGAAAATGCTCTTTTTAATTTTGTGATTGGTAACAGCAGAATTTCGGGTATATTGCATTGGATTGTAACATGGCTGACAAGGTGACAGTAAAATTGCCACCTGTAGAAAATGCTACCTCAGTTGACAAGCGTTTTTCCAAAAGTTGTTAACTTAACTGTCACTCTGTCAGGCATGCAATAATTAATTTTAGTCTACCAAAAATACTATTATGATAATGGTAGGGTGTCTTGATCTAATTTAACATTTATGTGCAGTAATGAAGAACAATTAGTATTTAACCTAAATTTCAAAATGTTATTAAAATGTGTATAATATGTTTATGTGTCATTGTTCACATTTTTTGGTTGATCGTGTTTTGAAATAAAACATGGAAACTATTAAAACGTGTAAACGTGTTTTAAATCTTGTTACAGTCCCAAAACACGTGTTAGGTGTTTTCAGACAAAACACCTAAACACGTTTTCTAGGAAAACACCCGTGTTTTAGTGTGAAACATCAGTGTTTTGTGAAAACACCGCAACATGTTTTAAAACTGTTACAGATAGGTGTTTTCACATGTGTTTGGAATCAAAACACTGAGATTTAGAGTGTACTTTTTTCTAAATTCAGCAAGTACACACAATTTATGGGAAATATTTCAAATTGTAATATCAAAAAGAAAAATGCATATAATAAAAAGAAAATTCAAGTTTTTTTCTATAAATACGTACATACTTTATTTTCATGTTATGGTATAAAAATTATCATATTTCACTCGTGGCTACCGCCATCTATGAAATATTTACTTTCATGCCACACGATAAAAATAAATCCCGTATTTATAGATACAAGTTGAATATCCTCTATATTCTTCATCTTATGGTATGATAATAATTATTATCATGTTTCACTTGTGGCTACCGCCATCTATGAAATATCTATTTTCATACAACTCGATGAAAATAAATCCTGTATTTATAGAAAAAGTATTGATATCTTTAAGCAGCATAAGAATTTTTTTCAATTGGTATTAATATAATTGAGTTTCTTAACTGAATATAAAAAGTGCACGTGTACTTATTTAAAATATGAGTTTGTTTACCACCATGTAGACAAACATGTAGAGTACAATTATCATCCTTCCGGTTTTAAGTTCAAATTTCCGCAATTTATATAGAGCGTTAAAGACGAATATACGATTAAAACAACAACAACAACAATACATTTATTTAATGTTGTGACATAAATAATATTGTACATACAATTTTCTCACCATTTAATCCCGAGAGATGAAGGATGCTATAATTATTTACATGTTAAATGTTGATGTCGCATATCAAAGACGCCGCCAAATGATGTGAACAGTCAAAATCTGAATTGAAAATCGTTCCCTATTACAGTTGAATATTCGAAGCACTAATCAATTTTTTTCTCCATGTTCTTATTATGTGTCTGAAAGTCTGAAATGTTTGTCTGTTGCGACAATGATTGAAACGTCTGGTCGAAGCAAAATGGATTGGATAATAAGAAAAAATGAAATGACTGGTAAACTTAAAATGAATTCAAGATAATATGTGCCGAGAATATGTCCATTTAAATATTGGTGCGGATTGCATAATGTTCGTTCGAATGAATTTGAGGACGAACTGTCTTTTATTTTACAAATAGCAAAAAATATGTCTGTAATATCAAATGATAGTTATGAATAAATTGATATATATATATTATCAATTCTTAGTTACGTATTGTTTTCTTATTTATAAACGATTAAACTATTTGATTAAACTAAAGAATGCATATTCGCCTAGAATCTAAGTATAGGACCACTAAATGAAGTAAAAAATCAAGGTGAAAGAGAACAATCGTCAGTCACAGAATCCTTAAAAATAACCTATTGTGATACATTTTAAAGTAAACGTATTTTTTTCAATCAGTTGATCTGTTTTACAACATAAATGTTAATTATTTTCATGAATTACATGTCGAACACGTTTTGCCTGTTTTGCAAAAAATATTTCCGCTGTGTCCGTATCGCCAATAAAATCTCCGTTCCGTATTTTAATGACACCTTTTGTTACCTGCCCGAATTTGGTTCGCGACTATAGACTGGCTCATTGGCACGTTATTTTTAGGTAGAAAAAAACAAGATCATTATAAAAAGAATATGATATTCAAACATGGCACTATTACTTCAGTTAAACGTTTATTTTAATCCCTTAAAGCTCTGTGACATTTTGTACATCAGAAAAGCTATTTTTATTAGAAAATTTGAAAACGATGTGATTGTGTTAAAACAAGAAAAAAATGCACAAGATCAAGTCTAAAATTTTCCCCATCGCTATATGAACAAATGCATATCTACTAGACGGCACGTATAAAGCTCTGTATATGCTATATATTACGGAATGCCGTTAGGGCCATCGCCTACATGAATGTGTTGATCTAAAACGCGATAGTCGATAGTACGATGGTGAAAACGCAAAATCACGAAACTACGATGGTGAAAACGCGAAAGCACGATGATGAAAACGCGATAGTACGATGATGAAATCGCGACAGTACGATACTACGATGATGAAAGCGCGATAAACTATCGTGTTTTTACCATCGTACTGTCGCGTTTTCACCATCGTAGTTTCGTGATTTCGCGTTTTCACCATCGTACTGTCGACTATCGCGTTTCATATCAACACATTCATAGGCAATGGCCCTAACGGCATTCCGTAATATATTGATGGAGAGCGTGTAGATTACAGTTTAAGTCATGATGTATTTTTATATGACCTTAAGTTTTCATATTTCTTTTGTAAGTATTAATAGATACCTAATCTGTATAGTTCAAGTTTTAATTCAAACAGATATAGGTCAAAAATATATAAAAAGATGAGCAGATATT